CGACCACAAGTGAGCCCAGAATTTCTGTTGCTAAGTGAGATAGTTGTTACGTGAGTTTTGCCCCATTTTACGACCTTTCTTGCCACAGTTGTTAAGTGAATCACTGCAGCTGTTAAGTTAGTAACCCGGTTGTTAAGTGAATCTGGCTTCCCCCGTGGACTTTGCATGTCAGACGGTCACAAAAGGGGATCACGTGACCCCGGGATGCTGTGACCGTCCTAAATATGAACCGGTTGTCAAACATCTAAATGTAAATCACATGATCCTGGGGATGCTGCAATGGTCATAAGTGTGAAAAATGGTCATAAGTCACTTTTTTCTATGCCATTGTAACTTCAAACAGTCATCACGAAATTTCATTTTGATGTATGCCGATTGGTGTACTTTCAAAGTGACAATAAAGTTATTATTATTATTAAACGAACCGTTGTAAGTCAAGGACTACCTGTCACGTGTTCCCTACATGATTGGCTTTTTAATATGACCTTATCAAAAATTTCACATTTCTTCCAAAACAGAAAGAACTTAAGGATTTCTTTTTTTAAAAAAAACATATGTACATGTGAGAAATTATATCTGGTATATCTCTGTGCATGAATTTCAGTGTGTGTGTTTTGTATGAGTTATATTTGTGGCTGGGTGTGTATGTGTATGAGTGCATGGAAGAGTCACACGTAAGCCTTTGTGAACAAGCTTTGATCACTGGTGTGTTGGGAAGGGCTTAAGGAGGATTTATTTACTTATTTAATACAATTTAGAGGCTGCCATGAAAGCAAGAACAATTAAAAAAAGAAGCAGATCATAAACATCCGAGAGATAAATAAACAAAACATTCTGCTGGAACTCAACCATCATTCTGCTCCAAAGCCTGGAACAACAGCCTCGTTTTCGTGAAATAATTTTTTGAAAATTATTCGGGTGAGATGCTCTTCCAAAGGGCAGGCAACTCAACAGCACGTTCCTAAAATCTTGGAAGGTCCAGCTCAGTGTTTCTCGACCTCAAGCACTTTAAGATGTGGCAGGGTCCAATCTGGGTGGTCACCAGGACCAGAGGTTCAGTCTTCCGAGCTTCTGGACTCGTGCTGGGTCCCATGCTCAGAGAACATCTCTCTGAGGATACATGCTTTGGGCTGTTTTCCTTGTTCCCTTCCGGGAGGAGGGGGCTCCGTGGTATCCGAAGCTGGACAGCTTTGTTCCATACAGTATCAACCTCATGAACTCTCAAGCTTCCTCTTTCCGCTATGTGTTCAAGATGGATAATGATTATGTATGTATGTACTATATGTATATATAATTGCATGCATATACGTGTGGTATGTGTGTGTATGGGTAGATACATACTTTCTTTCGAGAGCAGGCAACAGAATTTCATTTTTACTGTGGGTCAGTGTGCTCATAGTAAAAAATGACAATAAAGGTTATCTTATCTTGTCTTGTCTTGTCTTGTCTTGTCTTGTCATGTCTTGTCCTGTCTTACCTTACCTTATTTTGCCTTGCCCTGCCCTGCCCTGCCCTTCCCTTCCCTGCCCTGCCCTGCCCTGCCCTGCCCTGCCCTGCCCTGCCCTGCCCTGCCCTGCCTTGCCTTGCCTTGCCTTGCCTTGCCTTGCCTTGTCCTGTCTTACTTTACCTTACCTTACCTTACCTTATCCTATCCTATCCTATCCTATCCTATCCTATCCCATCCCATCCCATCCCATCCCATCCCATTCCATTCCATTCCATTCCATTCCATCCCATCCTATCCCGTCTTGTCTTGTCTCGTCTCGCCTCGCCTCGCCTCGTCTTACCTTACTTTACCTTACCTTATCCTATCCTATCCTATCCTATCCCATCTTATCTTATTTTATCTTATCTTGTCTTGTCTTGTCTTGTCTTGTCTTGTCTTATCTTGTCTTCTTGTCTTGTCTTATCTTGCCTTGCCTTGCCTTGCCTTACCTTGTCCTGTCTTACCTTACCTTATCCTATCCTATCCTATCCTATCCCATCTTATCCCACCCCATCTTGTCTTGTCTTGTCTTGCCTTGCCTTGCCTTATCTCACCTCACCTCACCTCATCTCACCTCAGTTTATCTCTTATCTCTTATCTCTTATCTCTCATCCTAGCTTGCCTTTGAACGATCACTAAACAGACTCTTGTAAGTCGAGGACTATCTGTACTATTTAGCATCATATGCCTTTCACAGGACACCAAGACACTTGTAGGAAATCTACACAAGGAGTACCTGACAGTGAATAGCTCACTCTTATTAATATACTGATTTCTCGGAGTCATTGACTGTGAAAGTAATGGCTTGTAAATCTTTTAAATCTCTCTCTCTCTTTCTTGATTTTTTTTTCTTAAACCTTATAATGGAAAAGAAGAACCAAATAAATTGTTCAAGGGGCAACCTATAATTGGTGAAGCATCTCTGTTGCTTTGAGATCCAGTTACTTAGCAACTATGGCGTCACCGAGCCCTGGTTAGCTCTTTTGGCCAAGGTGATCTTTTTGTTGTGCATAA